TCTCTCTTATGGCATATTTGACTGCACGTTGGCATATTTCTGTAATGTCAGCACCACTGAAACCTTGAGTGTATTTAGCCAGGGCTGTCAGGTCTACATCTTTGGAAAGTGGAGATTTTCTCAAGCAAGCCTTAAAAATCTGAAGGCGTGACTCCTCATCAGGGAGAGGAATATAAATCAATTGATCAAGCCGTCCAGGACGAAGAAGTGCAGGATCAATTATATCAGGCCTATTGGTGGCACCAATAATGAACACTGTTTTCTTTGCGTTCATTCCATCCATTTCCGTTAAAAGTTGATTCAATACCCTGTCAGCAGCACCCCCAGCATCTCCTACACTGCTTCCTCTCTGAGAAAAAAAAAAATCAAAAATCTGTGTGAATGGCAAAAACTGGAACGTCAAGCAGAAACTACAATAACATTTGAGAGAAGTGTGAAATGCCTGAGTAGCAATCGAGTCCAATTCATCAAAGAATAGGACACACGGGGCAGATTGGCGAGCCTTGTCAAAAATTTCTCGAACATTGGCCTCACTCTCTCCAAACCACATAGTGAGCAATTCAGGACCCTTGACACTGATGAAGTTGGCCTGACACTCATTGGCTATTGCCTTAGCTAGCAAAGTTTTTCCACATCCCGGGGGGCCGTAGAAAAGAACTCCCTTTGAAGGTGACATGCCAAACTTCTCAAACTTCTCAGGATGCTCCACTGGATATTGAACAGTCTACATAACAAATGGTGCATACAAAAGTCAGTTTCAAGGAGAGGTTTCTACTCCATGACAAATAAATTTGATCAATATACAAATACAAAAAACTACAGGATCCATAGCACGTGAATCAAATGGTACCTCTTGGAGTTCACGCTTGACATTCTCCAGGCCCCCAATATCTTCCCAACTAACATTGGGTACTTCAACAACCTGTAGCATCCAAAGATGCAAATTAAGATCTATTGAGCATGAATCAAAAAGATAAATAAATGAAAAATAACTTAAAAAATCTACACTTACTGTTTCACGTAGAGCTGAGGGGTTGCTGGTACCAAGAGCAGTATGGAAGTGCTCATTAGTAACAGCCATGGAGTTGAGTATCTCTGCATCAATGCTATCGTCTTCCAAGTCAATCACATCCATCTTCTCCCTAATGCATTGAAGGGCAGCCTCAGTGCAAAGAGCTGCCAAATCAGCACCTACATAACCATGTGTGTCTTTGGCAATTCTTTCCAAATCAACCTGCAAAATGTTTCAGAGATTAAAATTGGTTTATATTTTTTCAATACGGTAGGAAAGAAGATACTCGAACAAAAATCATGGGAATTGGGATAGCTAAATGTACATCTTCAGCAAGCTTCATGTTCTTGGTATGAATACGAAGAACTTCGAGGCGCCCAACCTCATCTGGAACACCAATATCAATTTCCCTGTCAAATCTCCCAAACCTTCTCAATGCAGGGTCAATGCTATTGGGACGATTTGTGGCACCCATTACAATAACATGAGCACGGGACTTGAGTCCATCCATCAGCGTTAAGAGTTGGGAAACAATCCTCCTCTCAACCTCTCCATTGGTCTTCTCTCTTTTGGGAGCAATTGAATCAATCTCATCGATAAATATGATTGATGGTGCATTTTTCTCAGCTTCCTCAAATGCTTTTCTGAGATTGCTTTCACTTTCTCCAGCCAATTTTGACATAATTTCTGGTCCATTAATACAGAAGAAGAAAGCGCCAGTTTCATTAGCAACAGCTCGAGCGATTAGGGTCTTCCCAGATCCCGGAGGCCCATAAAGAAGTATTCCTTTAGGAGGCTTGACACCAATTGATTTAAAAAGCTGTGGGTGCCTTAGTGGTAGCTCCACTAACTCCCGAATCTGTGCCATCTGTTTACGTACACCACCAACATCATCATAGCCAACCTCATCCAACCGATTCTCATCCTCCCTTCTTACAGGTTCTCCCTCACAGAAGATCTCAGTATCAGGGGCAACGACACAGTACTCAGGAGGATCAGTCTCAATGACCTTAAATTCTACACTTCTCATTCCTCCCCTTACGAGAAAAAGATCGCCCTTCCTCACCGGTCGGTATGCCTCAAGGAAATATGCTGCAGATAAAAAGAAAAGACTAAACACATTGCCTATTCAAAGAATTAGGAAAAAAAAGAAATTTTGAAGCAAAAGATACAATAAAAATAATCAACGGTTTAT